CGCACTCCCTCTCATTCACAATGATAAGATTTTTTTGTTTGTTTGATGCCTGGTACCTGATCTCACCGACACCTCGTGATCACGCAGGCTGGTGTGTTTCTTTCACGTGGGCTTGGTTGCTTCTCAGCTAGATGGCTGCTAGTTTATCTTCAAGCCTTTCAGACCTCAGATGCTATATCTTTTGATAACCAGGAAAGCTTCCCAAACTATTTAATACCTGCTTTTGAAACTAAGGGAAGGATATGCTCTCTTAGCATGGGCAATGACGTCTTTGGTTGATTTTTTTTAAATTGTATTTTCTGGCAAAAATACCTTTTTTACATTAGTTTTTATTTCATAGCTACTCAATTATCAATGATATCTTTATGTGAAGAAGAAATATACAAGAAATTTCAAATGTAGGAGATTAACACTGTTTAGCAGTTTTCAGTGTAATAAAACTAATATTCCAAAATATCGATCAATTTCCAAGTTGACTAATAAAAACTTCGTTTAGAATGTTTTCATTGTCATTATCCAGAAAATGTCCAGTTGAGGATGTACATGAGGCAATACACACACAGACACACACACACACATATATGTTTAAGCAGGAGTTTGTTAACCTGTGCTTTGGCAGTATCTTAGTGTCTTCCTGTGAAGGGGAAAAAATACTGATGCTTCCTTGTTTCTTATGGTAATAATTACAGTAAGTTATGTAGATATCTTTGGAAATTGATTAGAAAGAAAATAACCCAGAAAGCATTTATTTCCTTTTTTAGGTTGATGGAAATCAAAATCTTTTGACCAAGCTTTCTCTGGAAGAGGAAAATTCTCTCATTCAGTTGAAATGTGAAAGCCTTACACAGTAAGCATTGAATTGACTTAAAATTGTTGTCACATTTTTTTAAACGCCCTACAATTTTAAAGTATATCTTTTTTGTAAAAAGAAAATTAGAACAGATGGGTGCAGAGAACAAAGAGCTCGAGGAGAAGCTGGCAGGCCAAGAAGCATGCCTGAAGCGCAGCCACCTGCAGTTTAAAGAGAAGTCCACAGAGTATATCGCATTGGCCCGCCAGCTGGAAGCGGCTTTAGCAGAAGGGAGACGGAAGGTACGTGCAGCCTCGGTTTAGAAACTGTTTAGTTAGCTTACCAGAGAATCTTTGGAAGCTCCTCTTACCGAACTACAGTCACTGTTTTTATCCTGATGACGGGGTAAAACGGGCAATGACATTTGTTGTTCTTTACCCACGTTTTCTCCTTCGGCTCCAAATGGATGTATTTCTTGGGCTAGAATTAGCCTGATAGAAGGGATGCTGTGGCCGGGTCCATGAGCCCTGGTGGTGCAGGGGTTCAAACGGGCAGTGACCAGTGAAAGGCTGGAACCACCAGCCACTCCTCGGGAGAAAGATGTGGCAGTCTGTGTCCATACAGATGGACAGTCCTTGGGGCAGTTCTGTAGGGTCTCTGTGAGTCAAAATCAACACAGTGGCAAAGTGTTTTTAGTGTGTCACATTCTGAGTGATTCTCTCCTTCATTTTTAATCGACTCAAAGTGAACTTGCAGGTTATTAAAAAAAAAAAGAGTGGTCTTGAGATGAAACTCCATAAATGTAGCTGTCTCTCACCCCTGACCCATACTCAGCTAGAATTTTTGAGAACAAAATATCCCATGCTTTATGCAAGCACAATAAGGACTGATGGACTTACGTCTGGTCTGAGAGTGAAGAGTGGACAAGACACATGCCCTTCTTAACCAGTGGTTGTGCCCTTCTGAGACACAGTCACCCTCCTCTCCTTGTAGAATTGAGGGTGAGTGATAAGATTCAACGTCTTGTTGACCCAGGGTCAGAGGGTCTCTGTGCCCTCTTGAGGTGAGTCCCAGCCTGGGGTTCTCCTGAGTTGCCCCCGTTCTAAACCCTGAGGACTGATGGAGCAGAATGCCTGTTGATAGTGCAGTCTGAGGACAGGACTTCCTTCACAGCCATGCTCAGTTATCCAGAGAGACATAACGACAGGGTTGCTGGAAGCTGCCTTTTCAGAGCTGCCTCCCAGTGCTTGAGGTGTGTGGCCGCTCTCAGCACCTGCCGCTGGACCAGACTGCTCTCTCTTATGCTCAGATTCAAGTCAGAAAGAAAAACCCTACTTCAATTAGGAGCATGCTCCTCACTTAGTGACCTCCCTTTGACTCCTAAGTTATTTCCCGAAGGACCAGCCAAAGTGTCTGGAAGTTGTAAATAGAACCTGCTAAACACTACTGAAGGCCAACAGTAGTTACACCTCCTCAGTGCCAGGCTTGTTTCACTAAGAAACTTCCACAACCTGTATCCATTAAAGATAGGCTTTTATTTTTTTTAAAGAACAATAAAATCAAAAGAAATGACTGTTAAAAAAATAACGGTTGTGATAAAACTCAGTGAATTGTAAAGCCCAATTCCCTTTTCTTTTGCCAGATATTGATGCAAAAATGAATACAGGCAAGAATTAAATTCCAGTTAAATCCATGCAGTTAACAGTTAATGTGTACCTGGCTGTATCAGGCAGTCTGTTAAATGCTTGAGATGTGAAGCTGAATCAGACTTGGCCTTAGCCTGCAGGACACTCACAGCCTAGTAGGGAGATAACAGGTAATCAAAGCATGTAGCGGCTATTAGAGGGGAGGGTTCAAGGTACACTAAACCAGAACTCACTGTCATGGAGTGGAGTCTTCCTCAGAGAGACCCTATAGCAAAGAGTAGAACCGGTGCTGTGGGCTTCTGAGTCTATAACTCTCTCTACAGAAACAAAAATCCTCATCTTTGTCCCAGGGAGTGGCTTGTGACTTTACAGTTAGCAGTTCAACCAGTAACCTAGTAAACCACCAGTGGTTATTTCCGTAAGGGCTAGGGACAAATGGTTCAGGAAGAATTCACTCAGAGATAAATTTATGAAATGATTTCAAAATCTCACCCTCACATCACATGGACTACAATGGGAACTGAACTTCGATTCTTTTCTAACACATTGTACCCTGACCCAGGGCAAGCTCTCTAAGCTTTAGTTTCTTGATAGGTAAAATGGGGCAATGCATTTAGCAAGAGACCAATCAATGTCAATTCCAAATCATGGTGAACCTATTTAGGGGTTTGGGAATTGTAAATCTTTACAGGAACATGCAACCTCATCTTTTCCCCACAGAACTGCTGGTGGGTTTGAACCATGGACTCTGTATTTAACAGCCCAGTCACAGCACCACCAGGGCCCCTGACCTATCCCCTAGTGACTCTCAAATTTATATTTCCTGGCTAGACCTTTTTCCCCTGAAATCCACTTTTATATCCACATACTGATTTGCATCTCTACTGAACACAGCTATCCCCAACATCTCTAAAACTGAACTCTTAATCCCCAATCAAGTTCATAGAGATTCGTAAAAGATAAAATATCCTTGAAGTATGGCTTTTGTACCACCAGTATCACAAATATATTTCGAACATAGTGGATTTTGGGGACACATGGTGCAATAAAATTTAGGTAGTAAAACATACTGTCCGCAGTAGAAATGCAGACTGGTTGCTTAGCTCCCCTGGCCCTCGGAAGGGCAAAGGACTGGCTCAGCCTCAGTTGCTGCTGCTGCTAGGTGCCCTTGAACCTGCGCCATGCTCACAAATGGTTTGACTTGACGTTGGAGCCCATTGTTGCAGCCACTGAGTCAACCCATTTAAAGCGAGGGCCTTCCTCTTTTGCAGTGCCCCTCTATTTTACCAAACGTGATGTCCTTCTCCAGGGACTAACCTCTTGTGACCACACACCCAAAATACATGAGACAAAGTTGTCATCCTTGCTTCCAAGGAAAGTTCTAGTTGGACCGCCAAGACAGGTTTGTTTGTTCTTGTGGCAGTCCACGGTATTGTCAGTATCCTTTGCCATAATTCAGATGCATAGATTCTCCTTCCGTCTTCTCCTATTCCATGTCCAACTTTCACAGGCATATGAGGCCATTGAAAGTATCACAGCATGGGTCAGGCACACCTTAGTCTTCAAAATAAAATCCCTGCTTTACAGCAGTTTAAAGAGGTATTGTGTGGGAGATTTACCCAGTGCATTCAATAGCTTCAGCTTGAAGACTTGGTAAACACCAGTAACCTTCAGATTCCTTCCCCAAAGTGCTCAGAGAGCTCAGTTGTATCTGCCCTCTCCTCTCTGTCCTGCTGCAGTAGAATACGAAACTGTATCTAGCTTCTGCTCATGTGAGAAGTGCCATCACTGCCCTGCCACCATTGTCTGCCACGAGGGAGCAGTGTTGCTCTGTCATTTACACACATTCTCTACTTCTTTATATAGGTTCTCATAGTCCTTGGAATGGCCACGGAGAACTCACAGCCAAAGCTCATGATTATAGGACTTGAAGTTAGCAGGTTACAATGCAAGTGAGAAATGCTTAGGATACAGTCGTTCAGTCAAGACATGCTACAAAGTCTACCATAAAGGGCATGTCAGCCTGCTGTAAACCTTAACCTGAAGGCATTCAGCTCAAGCTCCATGCGTCAGTGAAAGGGGTGCCCCACTCCAGTAAGCCTCAACCTGAAGGCATTCCAGTGTACCTCCTCGGATTAGCAAATCCTACCCCCCCAATTAAGTGCCAGAGGCTCCCCACTCCTCAAACCAGTTTCCCGCCCCACATCACTCAGCTTTACACTCTCTGGGCTGGAAGTCCTCTCTTCCATTTCATGCTCTGGCTCCTGGTTGTGCTGCTGGCCCTCTGATGTCACAGCTGTCTTCTGGATCCAGGAGGTTCCCTGCACGGGGATCTCAGGGTCCCGAGGATTGCCCTCCACTCCTGCTTGTTGTTGGTAGTGAGATTCCCCCACCCCTACTTCTCATCGGGCTCATTTCGTATGCGACAAGGTAGCAGTCACAATGTATCCTGTTAGCAGTTACTCACAGGTGAAGTCTATCAGTGTCTCTTACCCAGAACCATGCAGGATAAGGTGATTTGGTGGGAGTGACAGAGACTGGCTAGGAGGGCCGTGTTAAATACGTAATTCACTGCCTCTGCAAGTGCCAAGGAAACAGATATTTGTCCTGTGAGAGTTCTTTTTCCCATAACTGTTGATGTCTCCAGCATCCTTCAATCTATGCCTTGGAATTTATGGAGAAAAAAAAATCTTTGTAACTTTTTAATAATAACTTAGAATTCAGTGCATGGCAGGACGTTAAAACACTCCAACCCACTATCTCTTTACTAGACCATGCCTCCACTCTGCTTCCTGTGGCTCCAGCCCACTGTTCTTGCAAATAAAAAATGTTATCTGTCATAACTGAATCCCCTGATGAACATGGCTAAACTGAGTTTTCTTCTAAGTTAAGCTATCGGAGAAATGTGGAAACTCAAATCAGACCGCCTTGGGAGTGAATGAATGAATCACCTGAAAGACACTGTTCCTCCTCATTTGCATTTGTGAAGTTTCTACAGCACCACCCACCACCATTCCATATGTAAACCTATAATCAGCATTTAATAAGTGCTTTCTGCTTTCCACCGCTGCTCTAGACACTATGGTGAATGTAAATATGGTGAAAACATGGCATTTAGTCTCAGTAGGTTATTAAAATATGCTGTTTATTAAACATGCTGTAGGTTGTTAAAATATGCTGTTTGGGAAGCACCTACCTATGTCACAGAACAGTGGGATTATATGCATTTTTACCTCTTCCATCTCAAGCAGATACTTAAGAGTATAAAGATGAATTTAAATGCTTATGTGTGTTTCCTCAAGATAAAGCTTTTTAAAACATTATTGAAATTAGTTAACATCCAATGAGTTAAATTTTTTGGAAAAAGGTTAATTTAACAATGTCAGAGGCATTAAGTCATATTTTAAAGAAAACACATTTAGTTATTTTACTCTTTTAATAAAAATTACAGGTTTCTGAAGAAATAGAGAAAACATCGTCTAGAGAGAGAGCTTTACAGATGAAAATATTAGATTTGGAAACTGAGCTTAGAAAGAAAAATGAAGAACAAAATCAACTTATTTACAAATTTCAAAGTGTAAGTATTAGCATGCTACCACATTATCATATAAAATATATTAATGTTAAACTTTCTTGCCCTGTAGTTTAGTCAGTTAGATAAAGTAGGATGTGAGGGATGTCAGGGATATTGATTTACTGATAACATTAAAAATAAATGATATCTGTGATAAAAATTAAAAGTCAAGAACATGACAGGTAACTTATTATCCTGCCTCCTTGGTAGCATCTATTACATTTCTCCCACGTCTCATTGAGTCTTTTAGTTGCATATTCCTTTTGCGTGACAGCTGCTTAATGAAAGTTGCACAGATAATCTACTTATTTTGTCCTTGTTATGAATTTTCTTTTTCTTAAAAAAAGTTAAACAATTTAAACTTTTATTAGTATGAGTTAGAACTTATATCAGTCTTACATAATTAATGTTATCTTTTAGATGGGTACGCATTGGTTTTAAGCAAATTTTCAGTATTATCACATCTGCTTATGGGATGGAAGATATTGTCAACTCAGCCATGAAATGAGAATACCAAACTAGCTGTATCTAATTACTTTTTAATTTTTAAGAAAACTAAATATTTATGAAATAGTCACTTGGCATAAGATAACTCTGGAGTCTGGCGTTATCCATGACTGGATTACGTAACAACCATCTACTTGATCGTCACCTAGTGAGTGGTGGTACTTTATTTTTACCAGCAGCCAGAGCTTCTGCAAAAAGTATTTTTCATTCTCAAGTGTCCAAAAAGTTGAAAAACTAAATGGCTCAAAAGTGAAATGATTTTTGGCATGCACCATTAGATTGATTTTATTGCCATCAAAAGTTTCACGGCAATTTAACCAGAACAAGTATTTATCACTTAATTTAGCACAAGCCTTCCCTGTATGTCTCAGTTTAAAAAAACCCAAGCCATCAAAAACATAAAACTCACCAAGTTCCTGATACTGTAAAATATGTCTGATGCCCTTTTTGTCATGGACGCCTCTGAAAAACTAAACTCTGGATCCTGTGAGAAAGTGGACTTTGGTGGCATAATGTTTCCAGTACTTGGCTAAGCTACTGCATAAATAGGTGTACTGCTTTGTTAAGCCTGGTGGTTTTTCAGTAATGAAAATCTAGAGTTCTACACGTAGGTTTAGAGTCAGCTAGATTTCACATGGCTGAAAATGAACTAGGTTAACTGTGTTTTAACTGTTTAACTGGTAAGATGTGTTTTGACCCTCACAGCGGTCTGTGGCTGCACTGTATTTGCTTTGTAGACATGGTGTAGTCCCAGTTTTCCATTGTTAAGTACCTTGAGAACGCATCTCATTGTTGATCACTTCCACAGTGTCCTGTGCACAATAGCAGGTCCGTGCAAACTTTCTAGCCAGGTCCTCTAAAGGCGGGCATAGTGGATGAAGAGGCCCACGGGTGACCTCGACAGCAGCCCCCCTCAAGCCTGATGGCTTTGAAGTCTTCTTTTATAGGCACGGTTTGCATTCTGCTTTACAATAGAGGCACGTTTACTTTGGTTTTTCTCTCTCCAAGTTGATCCATAAAGATTCTCTGTGCCTATTCTTTGACTCTGTATAGCCTAGCCTAGCTCTTTGCTTCATACAACCCACTGTTCCTAACTGGTATGGCTCGTTTCGAGAAAATATCAGGCATCACTGAATCCTTGATGTGAAGGAAGCAAAAGTCTCTCTCAAGGTGCCTACATTGTAGTTGGAAGCTGTATGGTATCTGCAGCCTGTCTTTATCTAAAGCATTTTCTATGATCACATCTACTTAGGAATTTATATGCAATTGAATAAAAATGTATTGGGTTTTTACTTGTTCCCTAGTATTAGGATTTCGTTTTATTGGTTAACGGATTCTAAAAGTAGAATGCTTATGTTGTTAAAACCAGAATTTAAGTGCATTTGTAGACAGTAAATGTCGCTTTTATGTTATAAAATAAACATTTTAGACTGAGAAAATAACACAAAAAATCTAGGATTAAAATGTATCGTGTTAAACCTAATCGAGATTAATTATGGCACTTTAAATATAAGTCAACTAAGCTAATTATGTTAAATATGTAATAATTTAGGACTATGTGAATGGGCTACTACAAATTGTTCTATAGTAGAGATCAAGCATGTTTGTACTTTAGTCTTTTAAGGAAATATGAATTCTAAGATTAATGAACACATCAGATGTGAGAATCTTTAATACATTAAAAATAATAGACTTAATGTCTGTATATTTTATATTATGATTGATTGTCCTTTGATATGAATGCCATTACTAATTATCTTCATTTATTTGTTTTTTATTTAGAAAGCACAACATCAGGAAGTGTGTTTGAAAGAAGTACAACATAGTCTTGAGAAGTCAGAGAATGAAAATGAGAGTATTAAGAATTATTTGCAGTTTCTTAAAACTTCTTATGTAACTATGTTTGGGTAGATTGTTAAATTTATTTTCTATAAGCAATAAGTTTTTACTATGAGTCTGAAAAATGATGAATTAATATACATATATGTATCCTTCTGTTATATTGTATAATTAATGAATGGTAGTATGAGAGATTTTATACAAAGTTTTTTAAAGCATAATTTATTATCCAGTCAACACTTTAAGACAAGATAAATGCTAGAAATCCTCTTGATTGAAATAAAGTACATATGTGATATTATTATTTTTTAATTTGTTAATAGTTTATAAAAATAAAATGTTTAACTCTGGTTTAATTTTTATTTAAATCATATTAGATTTCCAGAATATATTCATTTCACACACACATACAAAAGAAGCCAGATTATTCTTTGATTATCAGTGGCTACCATTCAAGTGAATTTGTAATTGGTCTAGGCCAATTACAACCCATTAAATAATACCATTGCCATTGGTTCCGACTCACAGCGATCCTGCAGCACCGGTAGAGCTGCCTCAAGGGTTTTCTCGACAGCGGTCTTTCCAGAAGCAGGTGACCAGGTCTGTTCTCTTGTGGGGATGCTGATGGGTTTGACCTGCGTCCTTTGACCTAGGAGCCAAGCGCTTAACCTTGTGTCACCACATGAGCCAAATATAGGATTTTAAACAGTGAATAAAATTGATTTACATTGTGGTGCTGTACATATTTATGTAATAGGGGAGAATCTGAATTTCAGATTTTGTTAATGATACGATTACATACTTTCTAAAGATCCCAAGTATCTCAGTATACTTACTGTTTCAAATATAAGCAAATATGCCACTTATAACTTATTTTAGGTTGTAACATAGAATTTCAAGTCCTAGCTACTAAATGCCAAGTGACAGTGACAGGTGAAAATACATTTGATTGTCTAACAGACTCAATAGCATTGAGTTGGGTTTGAGGTTTAGAGATCTTCAGCTATTTCCGATCATGTCAGGCAATCACTACCATCACATGAAGAAAGAACAAGAGGTGGTGGTTGTTGGAGAGCCTGGATATCCATTCTGTATAAAGAAACACACACACCAATGTATTTTCATCTGTCACTTGGCATTTAATAGCTGTAGGACAGGGTAGAACCATCCTGGGAGTTTCTGAGACTGACTGTGTATGGGAGTAGAACGACTTGTCTTTGTCCCGCTAAAGCCTCCAAGTGAACTACAAGTTTAGAGGGAAACAACTTGGCCCACCCTATCCATAGCCAACTTGAATGACAAGCATTCTTTTTTTTTTTTTAATCATTTTATTAGGGGCTCATACAACTCTTTATCACAATCCATACACACATCAGTTGTGTAAAGTGCATTTGTACATTCATTGCCCTCATCATTCTCAAAACATTTTCTCTCCACTTAAACCCCCGACATTAGGTCCTCATTTTCCCCTCCCTCCCCACTCCCCTCTCCCTCATGAGCCCTTGATAGTTTATAAATTGTTATTTTGTCATATCTTGCCCTGTCCGATGTCTCCCTTCACCCACTTTTCGGTTGTCTGTCCCCCAGGGAGGAGGTCACATATAGTTCCTTGTAATCGATTCCCTCTTTCCTACCCATTCTCCCTCTACCCTCCCTGTTTTGCCACTCACACCATTGGTCCTGTAGGGCTCATCCGCCCTGGATTCCCTGGATTTTCAGTTCCTATCTGTACCAGTGTACATCCTCTGGTCTAGCCAGACTTGCAAAATCGAATTCGAGTCATGGTAGTGGGAGCGGGGAGGAAACATTTAGGAACTAGAGGAAAGTTGTATTTTTCATCATTGTTACATCGCACCCTGACCGACAAGCATTCTTAATAACAAAGACACTTCAGGATAAGTTGTTCCCTGTTAATTCCCCCAGACCTGTGTCTTAGCACTTATTACCATAGCTGATTAAAAGTAATCAAGTGGTAGTGATTCCCCTTTGGCCATGGTTAGAGAGTTATTTGTTTTAAGGAGCAGTAAAAGATCACTCCACAAGGTAGATGGCACTTTGCAGTCTCAGCCTGTGAACAGTTCAGTCTCTCCAGAATGTACCTTCACATTGGAAAGGGGACCTGCTCCTCCCTGTTCCACCCACACCTACCACTGCCTTATCTACGAGGCCTTACCAGGGGCCCAACTTTGGAGTATTTTCCTCAAAAGAGCAAAATACAGTAATGTTAGAAACTAGTCACGTTTTTTTGCTAGAAATTAGTAATAAGAATAGTATTCACCTCCTGGTTTCTTTAATCACAGTACTCGCTGTTCTAAAATATGTGCTTCACCCTTGTGGTCCTTTCTTTAAGACAAGAGTGCCTAAGGATGCTCTTACAAAGGAAACTAGGCTCTGGAGTAAGGCTCTGTCGAGTGTCAGCTCTTCTATCTCAGCCCCTGCACAGTACCTGGTATCTAGCAGCCCTAAAAGAGCAAACCAGCAAGACACAGGACTTAACTTACTTCCTCACTGCAGTCAAGTTGCTGACCACTCAGCACTGCGCCTGCGAGTTTCTGAAATTGGGACAGAAAGCGCATCTTTCACCCACAGAGCAACTGGTGGGTTTGAACTGCTAACCTTGCAGATCACAGACCAGTGTGTAACCATTATCCCACCAGGGCACTCTCCTCTACTCACTCCTCTCTCCGTCCCTGTCCCTTCCCCTCTCATTGAGTCAATGCTGGCTCATAGCGACCCTGTTGGACAATGTAGAACTGACACTGTGAGTTTCCCAGAAGCTGTAACTAACTAGTAGAAAACTCGTGTTTCTATGGGGGGAGCCAAAGCTGCGAGAGGTTTCAAAGTGCTGACCTTGATGTTCGCTACACAACTTGTAGATGCCATCTGATATTGCCCAAAGGAAGTTTAAGCACTTCCTCGGGGATGTTAAAATGCAGACTCTAATTTTTTACACGAGGTGGAAATGTAAATTCTCAGCAGGGGTCTGGACCAGAGTGAACAGATCCAAAACCCCGAGGAAATGCTGGATTATAATTTTGGTAGTTGTATTATTATGTACTTCCTAAAGTAAAAAATGACCTCAAATATACATTATTATTTCAAGTATATGCTAGAATTTTCACCCAGTACTAAACAGCTTGCAAAATTTTCTTTTTTTAAAAAAAATACTTTTATTGGGGGCTTTTACATCTCTTATCACAATCCATACATTCTTCCCATGTGTCAAGCACATTTATACATATGCTGCCATCATCATTTTCACAGAATTCTCTTCCTGCTTGAGCCCCTGATATCAGCTCCTCATTTCTTGCCCCTCCCTCCCTGGCCCTCCTTTCCTCATGAACCCTTGATAAATTATAGATTATTTTTTCCATATCTTACATTGTCCTCTGTTGCCCCTCACCCACTTTTACATTGTTTGCCCCCCTGTGTGTGGGTTCTAGGTTGATCCTTGTGATTGATTCCCCTTTTCTCCCTCAACCATCCCTTAATCCTCCTGGTATCTCTGCTCTCCTTGTTGGCCCCGAGGGGTTTATCTATCCTGGATTCCCTGTGTTGTAGCAGTGTGCATGCTCTGGTCTAGTCTGATTTGTAAGGTAGAATTGAGGTCATGGTAGTGGGGGGAAAGAATCATTAAAGAACTAGAGGAAAGTTGTGTGTTTCATCGGTGCTATACTGCACCCTGACTGGCTCATCTCTTCCCTGTGACCCCTCTGTGAGGGGATGTCCAATTGTCTACAGATGGGCATTGGGTCCCCAGCACCACTGGTTCCATTCTTTTCATCTCCAAATTATTTATCCTGCCTTTCTTACTGAGATAGACATGCAGATGCATTAATAAGTGTAAAAACCAGGCAAAGCCAAATAAAACAAAAAAGGAAGTAAAAACCAACAAAACAATAAAAACAAAGCAAAAAACAAAAAATAACTAACAAAAAGAAAGCCACTGACAAAAATTGAAAAGCCTATAAATAGTTCAAGGTCTGGTTGTTGGCCTTAGTGAGTGTTTTCCAGTCAAGTCTGATGGGGTGCCACTCTTGTCTCCCAAGTCTACTTTTGGTATTTCCCAGGAGGCTTCATCACTCTTCCTCCTGCTGCTCTGCTGCATGCCCTCAGTGCCTCGCCCCAGCGTGATGGGACCAGACCACGCACTATTCCCCATTGTGTCTCCAGTGCTGTCCCCCGCAGCACCATGGTTCAGTGAAGGACATCATGCCCCATGTGGGGCCAGCCCTACGGTCCTTCCTTGTGTTGTCTGCTCCGGATGGAAACATGGTCCTTGGGCCTTGGTGGGCCAGGACGTCCTCTCCTCCCTCTCCATCTCTTTGCATTTCTCCCGTGTGCTCTAATGTGACACGTCCCTCTCCCCAAGCTGTAGCCCCAGTGATGTCCTCTGAAGTGCATCCTTCTGAGAGGGAGGGAGGTGTCCACACAGTTGGGATTGGGGCGCCCCGCAGACCTCTCTATTGGTTCCCTGGTACATGCCAGTATGATGTATTCACGTTTGGGCACATCAGGTTGAAGCCTGGTCTCTCGCCCCCTCTCCTGTGGAGATATAAACAATACCCTCCCCTTGGGTGGATTAGTGCCCTGCTCTCCCGCACCCAGGTCTTTTTTTTCTTTTCTTTCTTTCCCACTCTTACATGGCTGCCGTATGTATCCCTGGATTGGGTTTGGCCCCGGCCATAGTTGCTGGACCTCACCCCAGGCATGTATGTAAATAGTAACTTTTCCCCTATGCCCAGTCTTTGTTGTTGTTTTAAGCTTACCTCATGTTATACTTGTCCTTTTGTGCTTGACTTACTTCACTTAATATGATTTCCTCCAGTCCTTCCCATGAGGCAATGGGCTTCATGCATTCATTGCTGCGTTTTAGGCACACAAAATACTCCATTGAATGTATGTACCACAGTTTTTTGATCCATTCATCCATTGATGGAAATTTTGGTTGTTTCCAACTCCTAGCTTGCAAGATTTTCCCTTGATATGTTGGGCCTCAAAATCGAGCCTCTTTAGGCCTGGAAATGTTCTTATATCTGTATAATTATCACTTTCCCACATATTTCTTTTTCTCCTATTTTGGTCTGAATCTGACCTCCAGTGAGTTCCCTTTTCACTCATAGTACCTGTCCTTGGGTGTATGCGCAATGTTGGGAGATAGTGATTCCATCTGATGTTTCTGGCCACTAATGTGGTTGTCGGGGCCCAGGCGATATGGTTCAAACCTACTAGCCACCCCTCAGTCAAAAGTTGAGGCTATCTACTCCCTGAATGATCTGAAGTCTCAGGGACCCAAAGGGACAGTTCCACTCTGTCCGAGAAGGTCACCGGAGTCAGAAAGGACTGATTT